GGGGGGGGGGGCAAGAAAACGCAAAAAGACACGCCTATAAGTCGCCTATAGAATTTCTTTGTTGGCCCGCCCCAGCCAGGGATTTGAGAGCCCCATGTGAATCGTAGTTTATTGGAGAAGAGGTTCATATGAATTAAATACGGAACCTAGGGTCAAGGAATTCCTTGAACAAACCGAGGCTTATTTAGCTATACTGTGTTTGAGGCATTGGACTCAGCTGCAGCGCTGGTAGTGCTTGGCATCTTTCAATGTAAGTTTACGTTAATGCTTTACGTCCAGAACTCCGAGAATACCACATGTGTCTGTCCGCAGTTGCATAGTGTTAGTTTTGTATTCTTTCCTACCTCTCGCGTTGCATACCGCATGGCGCGTTCAAAGTGCCGCCGATGCGGAAAATGGGGGGCAGACCGTTGTGAATGCGCCCATAAGCTACATCAGTGGCCTATCAAGTCCACCCAGCAGGCTCCAAAGAAGAAGCTTACAGCTCCCGATTAGAAGTTGAAGCCGAGCGCGACAACGACGACGACCAGTTCAACAACTTATGAGTTGAAAGGCATAGGACAGAAGCAAAGTTTGGTCAGTTAGAACGCGTTCGCGTGGAAAGACTGCGCTTGGAAAGCACCAAGTCCACAGCGGCGAAGGCTTTTAGGGCTGAGAAAGCAGAAGCTGCAGCGTGCGTTTCTAAGAAGAGGTACTGGCACAGTACTGCCATGGATCGCGTTGGTCCTCGAAAGGACACAACATATCCTGGCATCGTCAGTGTTGGGCCTCCCTTGGCCCTTGGAGACCAGCGCAGTCGCGAGCGCCAGCAGTCTTGGGAAGTAGGTTTTTGCCGAATCCCATTGTCCGCCTCGGGTCTTGTGTTGGACGAGGCCGAGCTGAGCGCATACAATGATGGATGTTCCGCACAGTGTGTGGAAGAATCATTCGTAGCATTATGCAGCGTCTGCATCGCAAGCTTGCTGTGACCCGCAAACTCTGGATGTATGAACATGTCCACTAATGTTGCATGTGCTAATGTAGAAAGCCACACTCGTGCAGACAGACAGAAGAGACAGTGAAACCCAGAGGCGGAAGAGAGAGTAATTGAGACCAAGGGAAATAAGGTACCGAAGGGACAAGGACCAGCAGGGGAACAAAAGGGATAAAAGATACAAAGACTGACACAGGGAACAAGCCGGACTGAGGGGACAAAGGAGGGCAAGGGTGACAAGGGGGGATCAAGGGAACAGAATGAACGAAGGGGACAAGGGAACTGAGGAGACAGAAGCGCAAAGTTGATAAGCGGGTCAAGGGAGACGAAGGGGACAGGGGAACAAAGGAGACAAAAAGAACCAAACATAGGGACAAGGGGAACACGAGGACAAGAGGGGACAAGGGTACAAGGGGAACATTGGGGACGGAAATAAAGGGACAGGAACATAAGTCTAGAGTCTAGTATGTCGTGGCGGTGTCAACATAGTCAGCTAGTAATAGCATTAAAAACACGAGGAAAAGTATTGGTTTCGCAGCAAATACACACCGCGCAAATACACACTGCCACGGCAGATCCCCACAGTTGCACCAGCGACATGATAGCTTGATGCGTATGTTACAGCAGTTTTAACATCAGCAAGATGGTCGATGCAAAACATACGCATCAAATGATGAAATTCAACAAGCACCTCTTCGTGAAACTGCCTCGCAGGCACAAGACATTGTAGACCAAGTTCAGCGGATGATGAGAGTTGGGGTCGGCGAAGCAAATTCTTTTGCTTTTGCAGGAAGCCGTAGGCAGTAGGGGCTTTGCAGGCGGATGTAACGGCATGTAAGGCTAAGTTGGCGGGAATCAGAAGGCGTGATACAGCGACTCCTTTGTCTACAGAACAGAGCCAGTTCGACGCCTTAGACTTCAAGTTGATTCAGGAAGCGTCAGCTAGACGTGATCTTGAGAGAAGATGGGAAGCGTTAGAGGGCCGATTGCAGGCAACGTCATTCTTCGCAAGACGACCTCAAATCTTTCAGACGTCTCCTGGTCCGAGCGGTCAGTTTGTGGAAAGTGTGGGTACGAAGATCCTTCTGGGCCCTAGGTAGCGGTCCCCCTGGACTGGGGGAGCAACCGCCCCTCCCTATACCGGAGCATGTTCGTGAGCCGTGACAGGGCTGACATGACGATGAACCATCTCATTCATGGGACGTATCAGGCCACAGTGCACCAATCGGCCTAGTACAATCTGTGTCAGTGGGGTGTGAAGCAATACCAACAACGGAAGCAAAGGAGGTTGAGGCAGCTTTGGACGTGTGTGTCACTCGTAGTGAAGAGGCTATGTCTGGGGATGCGTCATCATGAAAGGTGGAGTCCATGACCTACGGTGGAAGCTTCTTAAGGATGTGCCAACACTGCATATAGCAAAAGGTACAGCCCCCTGAGAAGCTGGGATGACTTTCCATTCGTGGCGGGCGCAGATGCGGACGATATGCCGTGGGGTATGACGGGATTTTGGTATGTTTGTCGATGGATGCTGGGATAGGGCAAGATCCTTTATGATGAGCAGCTAGCATCACGTGTGAAAGCTAAGGCACTTATTGTCAAGAGCTGTGATGTAGCATTACTGCTCTTGCGCTATGTTTGGCAGTCTTGACGAGGCTACCGCCAGAGGATCTGAGGAGATAACGAGCCTTCAGAAATTCTTGAGCTACCGCACAATCGCGAACAACTTTCAGGAGATGGCGAAGGCTAAGATTCTGCGACGGTATCAGTTGAAGCTTCCAGAACTTGCGCCACCTGAGGGTCTTCGGGCCGCATTGGCCATTGCCCGGAACGTGGAGCGGCGAAATGGATCATTGCAAATGCGCCTTAGTATTCTGCGTTTGGACCCTGCTACATGTATATACACGTCTCACTGCTAGAAGAGTTAGCCAGGTTTTGGAGATGTTAGAAAGAGAGAGGGAGAGAGAGCGAGAGAGAGAGAGAGAGAGAGCGGTTGCGACAAGTAATGTTCAGTACTTGACCTTCATGTAATCCTGCTACTTGGGGGAAATCATGGGTCAGCCAGTGGTTGCGAATCCTTTNNTCCTTTCACACCGAGCTGGGGGATGGCTAAAAGAGCTACCCTCAGAAGACCTGGAACACGGCTGCGCGCAGCGCGTGGGGGGGAGTTCCTACGGGTGCGCCCTCTCGTAGCCGCTAGCAAGCAAGCAAGAGGGCAACCTCTGCCCACAGCCCTGGCGAAAGAAAGAGAGAAGAGAGAGAGAGCATGGACCTTGCAGCCGACGAGCAGATGAAAGGTAGTTGTGCAGTAGATTCCATGGTCGCAACAGCAACAGCAAACACAACCAAACGGAGGAAGTGCTGGTTCGTTAACACAGCAGAGGGATGCAAGAAAGGAAAGGATTGCGAATTTGCACACGACGAGAAAGGAGGTAAAGGTAGAGATGAGCCTAAGGGTTCAGGAAAGGGAAAGGATAAACGAAAGGAGAAGGAAGGGGAGGCAAGGTCAATCAGGCCGAGGCGACTTTGCAACCTGCGCGAAAACCAATCCCAATGCCAAGGCTAAGACAAGGAAGGCGGCTGCAAACAAGCTTTGGGTGTGGATGAAAACACCTTCGGTGCATATGACTCGTATCAACCATCATCGCGATGCATGGCAACCGACTGGTGACATCAGGTCCTGAGTCCGTTTGCCAAGCAGGGCCACCAACAGCGGCCAAGATGACATCAAGTGTGAGTGATGAGCAGGGTGTGGTTCCAGAGTGGGTTCTTTTGGATGCTGGGGCAAATGAGGCTTGTAGGCCTTTGGATCTGGGTGTGAACTTTAGTGACCGCAACAAGTATCTCGATCGGTTGGGGAAATTTGCATATGGAGGGCCGTGATTGGAACACCGGGCTCGCCAAACTTGTTAGAGCTGGGTTCAAGTTCGTGTGGGATCGAAGTTGAAGTGGCCCTATGCTGATATCAGAAAACATGATAGACGCGGTTCTGCGTAATGGGCTTCCGTATGTGAAGTGGAGCGATTTTAAGGGGGCTAGATCCAAGGTGTCTCGTCTTTACAAGAAGGCGCCTTTTTCCATGTGTGATGTGCCATTCAATGCCCATGTCCAGGAGCCACCTTCCATCTTAGAACCTGGAGAGCACATGGCTTCTGAGGTTGCGGGAAGCGTAGAACAAACAGTGTGCATTAGCACCAGCAGAGCTTGATCGGAAGCAGCTTCAGGAGGAGCTAGCCAGGCAAATGGCAGCGAAGAGCGGAATTACAGCAAAAGACTTCGCATTCTTGAGGGAACAGACCTGCGCAGATGCAATCGGCGCAGGAGGTCAGAGGATTATGGGGATAAGAAGGTGTCAGTTTGGACGTTTGGCAAGTATCAGCATGGACCTCATGGAGGGGTCACTGACTTGACAGGTCACAGACCGGAGTTGACACACTTGCTCACCCAGTTTGTCAGGCAACAACATCCTGAACATCGCTTTGATTCAGCGGCAAAATCCATGCTGCATGGTAAGCTCAGTCCAAAACTGTGGTCCTATGCCTTACAGGAAGCAGCCTTTCAAAGAGGCGTGCTAAGGTTCTTGGCATCAAGGTTCCAGGTGGAACCCCGAAACCTGGGGGTTGGGTTGGTGTCAAGCGTCAGCAGCCTGAAGCCTTCGGTGACAGAACGGTGTCAGCGGTGTACTTGGCACACGACGATTCAACGGAGAACAGTCTTGGTAACCCATAAGCCAAGCCGCTCAAGAGAATAAAAAAACTGGTCCGCCCAGAATTCAGGGCATTATCACGGACTTGGTGTCCCATCGGCCACAGAAGTAATCCTAGCCATGACCCTCATCGTGGCCATCAAGATTCCGAGGTGCCTTCGATTAGCAAGAAGCTCCACATAAGGCAGACTTCTCCCTGACTCAAGAGTTAAAGTACCAGCCAAAGCGTACCTCGCGCCGTTCGTAGCTGTTGTATGCGGTCCTGACACATCAATGGCTAAGGTCCCCTTGGCCACTTCATCTGGGCGAAGTCGCCAAAATGGATTCAGTCAGTGCAATCTGGATCACAAAAGCCCTTCTGCCCCTTCAGCATTTGCTTGAGCAAGCCCAGCTCCACGTCTGACTGAAGCAAAAGGCCACAGTGGGTGCCGCAACCATTGGAACTTCATTATCAAGCCCTGAATCCCTGAACCTATGGTATCCAGGAGTTCACCCAAATCACTTCATACCGACAATCAAACTCATCATCCTCACCCTCATCATCATCATCATCATCATCAATTTCAATCACTCCCTCGTAGTCTCTCCTAACCTCGGGTAACGGAACCGTATCCTAACCTGGTTCGACAGTGATGGGCTTGACTTCTGCACTCCTCGATGACTCACCCCTGAACCTGACCCTGAACCTCTCGCTAGGGCTCGGTGCCATGTAAGTCATGCGGATTGAGTTGTGCAACTGGTTCCACTGGTCCTCATCAATCGTCCGGGAATCGACGGCTTTCCAGGAAAAGCTACGCGCCAAACTGCTGTAGGATCATCTTTCAGTGATGCATTATGCACCCAAATCTCTCCCCTACATCAGAACCCTTAGCATTGAACTTATCACGGTGGGGCCTAAACGCAACAGTTGGAGGGAATTGGGTCTTGCAGCAGCAGCAGCAGCAGCACCAGGATAATACTGTAATCATGCGAGCGAGACCTCCTATGCTTGACAACAAGAAGCGGGCGCGCTGGAAGCAGTCCTTTACGACAGGCGGGAATCAGTTTGGACATCAACTATTGGGGATGTTGCGTTCGCAGACTTGCCGTCAGAAGATAGGGATGGTGACGTAAACATCTTGACGCTTGAAGAGAGATCGGATGGACCAGTGAACTCGGAAGATAACCTTAAGCGTGCAATGCATTCGAAGTCTCTATGTTGGCAGTCAGAGTGACATGGCAGAGGACGATCAGGTTGGAGAGTTCGTTCGTTTTGTGCATGGTTTTTTGTCTGCAATCCCGGGCGAAGAAGAAGTCCCAGCTGCATCAGCTCCACCTCTGGATGCAGAGCCTGATGATCCCTCTAAAGCGCATAAGTTGAAGCGGCTTAATTAAGGGTAGTCCTGCACCGTGTGTGGGAAGTCTTCAAAGGCATGCCATCCTGAGAAGATGGCCAAGGCAAAGTAAGTCCGAGCCAAGCGGATATCAGGTACCGTGCTTTGGCGAGGAGGCAACAATGGTTGAGCAGGAGAAGCGGGAGGATTGGATTGCAGCTGCACGTAAGGAGCTCGAGAACATGACAGTGCATCAAAAGGTGTGGATTGAGGTGCGAAAGGGACGCATCCATGAGGACTTGGTGACGTGGGCATTGACAGAGGCGTGAAGCTGCCCAAGGCCATCCCCATAACCCAGGGCATTCGGCATTCGTCTGATGCATGTTTTGCAAGATCTCCTTCACAAGCCTTTGAAGAGATCCTTTGACCGGAGAGAGGGGCATGATCAGGGTTTTCTTAGCTTGGGAGCTTGTCATTGGAGGCAGGGTAGTTTTCAAGGTGTCAATTCTGAAAGGCAAGAGGCGGTAGGGTCAGGCTCTCGCTCGAAGACGCGAAAGGCCAATAAAGGAGTTCAGCGGGCGATCTGGCAAGACACGCACTATCGCTTGGACCATTCGCGGCACTGGCCGAGCATCGAACCTGAAGAGTTCTCAACGAGGACGAAGACGAACTCAGCTGAGGACGGCAGTGAAACAGCAGAGATTTGGCGCATCGGTGTTGAGTGGTTTATGTCTCGAACGGGAGTTCTCAAAAGGCCAGGAGCTTTTCGTTCGGAGTCCCGTCGTCGAACCCCGCTCCTACCTTGGGAGGTGCGGGTAAGACTAGGCGGTTCTACGACTGCAACGGCCGGTTGGCCAAGGTTGCCAAGGGCCAAGCTCTGCCAATCGCTAGACAACCAAGACATGCTGAAGTGGGCAGAGGGCTTGGTACAGACAGGGTATCCCCCACAAATTGCTGTTGTTCACCTCTGCCCTGCAAACTGTCCCAAAGCTCCAGTCTCGAATAGCTTGATACGGCAATGTCGTGTCGATACCTCGAGAGAGCAACCAGGGAGAGCTAGAGAAATAGCTATCGAATCTTTGCAAAGCGGGAGATGCTTTGAGCGGATTAGTCCCTCCAGAGCCACTTCCCCCTACGCATGCCACGTCAGCAGAGGAAGATCGGAATCGAAAGACGGGGGGCTCAGAAGGGTCGGTAAATTCCCAAGACTCGAGCCACCCATTCCGAGAAGGCCCTCAGATCAAGCAGTTAGTAAGACGAGTCTCAGGATTTTTGACGAGGCGCGCTATCGAAGAGGTGGAGCGCCTTTTGGCGCAAGGACTGGAGGGCAATCAGACCGTAGGATTGGCTCCAGTCATGTTGAGGTACCTGAGGCTACATTGCGGCTACATGTTTTTAGGAGGGACATGGCTGCGAGAGCTATTGGTCTTGCCTTATACCATAGACCGTCTATTGCAGCGGGATGTCCTGGCAGCACTGGATATCATCATGCAGAGGGTGAAGTCGTTGGGGTTGGTCAAGTTGGGCAGTGAGCCCCTTAAGCATGCTGCCGGAGGATCTCCGGGCGGTATCCAGGAAGAAGCGTCAATGCTGCCTGGAAGGGTAATGGAGGATTATCCATTCAGTTCGGTCCTTTTGGGCGGTGAGCTTTTGAAGATTTTGCGGGGCAGAGGATGTGGATTTGGCGATGCGGTTTCAAACTTCTGCCAGACAAGCCCTATAGAGACGGCAGAGAGGAGAGTCAAGAAAGAGTGCGATACTGTATTTTCCCCTTGCCCCTACCCAGCAACAGTGATGTGGAGCAGATGAGAGCAGAGGCAGATCATAAAGGAGTTTGGCTCTTTATTGTGGTGTGCAGCTTGAATTGCCGCAACGGTGGTATTCATGTACAAATGTTCAATGGTCTGCCTACAAAGGTGCAGTCAAGAATCTTGCTACCTTAGGGAGCGTGTCGACGCCTTTTGGGACATGTTTTTGCAAACTCGATCGGTCGGGCAGCGAAGTGGACTTCGTGGGCCCTTGCCTTCTGGCGCCATGGGGAGTGTTAGAGCAACTGACTTTGCGGGTGGGAAGACATGCGCGTTAAGAGTTCACGTGTCATGGTGAGAGATGAGGACCTGGGGCGGGGGGGGGGACAGCTGGCTGGCGCACAGCTCATAAGGAATGACATCGGCGGCTTTGGTGTAAGAGCTCTTCACTTCACGATCCATACTTGCAATGCTCTCTTGAATAAACCGCACCTCGCACCAATCAAATGTTTTTTCAAGCATGCACAAGTGGTCGCACATAATGTGCAGATCGCTCCTGGAATCCTCCGTTGTCTCAACCTCATCAAAGTTGATGTGGTTGCCACGAGGGCGCGGAAGACCAGCTTCCACAATCAACGTCTGAAAAGTTGGACGCAACCACAAGCTTGGCCTCATGACTGCCTTCAGCCGAAATGTGCAGCATCACTTGGCTCCAAGAGCCTCAAGTGCCACTCTCAACTGATGCCATCAAAGAGCCCAACACAAACAACCCCCCTCTCTCTGGCATTTCTGGCGCTTAACCTCTAAAGCTGCTCTGGGCCACATTCTTTCCGCTTTCTCGGAACAGCATACACGCTGGTACACACCACGTCCAAGAAGTGACGCATCGCTGACGAGGCTCGAAGATCCATGTGTGCTCAGGGCAACAATCCAAGGAACATCAACAGCTCGGACAACAGCGATGGCGGGATATCACGAACTCTGACTCTGGGCCCTTATTCCTCAAAGGATGGGATAATGCCAAACGGAATTGAGGCTGGACATGAGCGGCCGGCGAAACATGCAGAAATAGACCAGTCCACCTCCAACCACTTGAATTTCTTTCTGTGAGCACCGCCGCCTCCTTACCAAGGAGACAGCAGCACTGCAGCACTTTCCCAATTTCTCGCCACGTGGCCTATAAAACCCTCCAGAACCATCCAAAGCAGCACCCTGCATCTCAGCTGTCTCAGCTGCCACCGCTTGCTTGACAGACTTCTTCTGCTTCTTCTGCTTTAGCAGGATGCCAACATCAGCATACACAGCCACCAAAGGGCTCATCTCCGTAGAAAGCCTTGCTTGCAAAAGGCCCAACCTATTGGGAATGACCTTTCCAATTGGTCAAGTTTGTTTTTTCTACTCTCCACAGGGGATTCGACAAAACTCCATGTAAAACTCCATGTCTGTCTCTGTGAATCTCGCCTCCCCTGGGAAATTCTGAGAGGAACCCACCACATTCGCAAGCAGCAAACGGGCACCTGAGGCAAGTAGTGCCAGAGGGGTCGGCGAAGAAGCTCTTTGCAAGTTTGCCAGGGCCGGGCCGGCACTTGGTGCATATGTGGAGTTGGCGCTTGCTGAGCTCTATGCTGTTATGCAGCACTGCCGGGCTTGTGAAGTCGAGAAGTTCTGCGCCCAGACATGCAAGCAGAAAGTCGATGATCACGAGAGGAGTCGTCGGTATCGTTCAGGTCTGCGCCGCCTCGGCATCCCTTGGTCTGGCTCCGAGGATGGGGGCGATGAGGACAAATAGAGAAGGAGCCAGAGCGTCAGATGCTGCTCATGGTCCCCTGCAGCAGGAGTCCCAGGAGTATCGGTGCCAAGGAGTCCCTGGAAAGGACAGAGGCAATTCCATCATGCACTCCATGGGAGGCGAGGAGGCAACCAACCGGGTCCATAGTGCTCTCCTCCAACATGATCGCGGAGTCATTCCTTGCTTGATGCCATCCACGGGTATTTGACCAGACCGATGCAGAAGCAGGCCCAGAAATTACGGGACTATCCGGCACCACGCATTTTTGCCCAACAGATGCCTCCTCTGTTTGGGACTAGCCGCAGCCAATATGTACTGTCTGCACTTTCGACCATGTCTGTGAGGTCGCCTCCGGACACCGTTCCGGTCATCTTGATGACCAAAACAGACTCTGACCTCGCAGTCTATCATTGCTGCTGCCTAAACTGATGCCAGTATCAGGTCATCCCCCAGCACTGCACAGTTAGAGTCTCGGGCCAAGTACGTGCAGGGTCAGGAGCCTGGGCTGGCAATCCCCATCCGCTACCAGCCACAGCGCCCAGCGACGTGGCACCGATAAACCCCCCTCGAAGTGGCCTGACTCCACCAAAACTCCTCCTCCCCAACTGCGGCGTAACCCAGGCCCTGCTGCGGCACACCCTCTGCTAGACACCTCCATAAGCCTCAGCCTCGGCTGGGGTCTCCACAGACTCCCACAGTAGAGACAAACTCCATGGCTGATGTCAAGTACCAGGGCCCGGTGAACATCCACACTATGTTTATGACTCAGGCCAGTCCCTGGACGACCAGCAAGCAGCCCTTCCCAAAAGGGACAGGATCGTGCCAGTCTGACCATGTGTTTGAATGGGTACATGCGCTCGCCACCATTCTCATCATCAATGAGAAGGCTGTCACTGGAAGTTTGAACGTGTCGGAGCAGCTGAGGATGTGGCCCGACCGGATCAAGATTCTTACAAACCCTCCCTGGGTCTTAACGCCCATTCTCAAAGCCGAGACAGACTCGGGCACCACGTGGGCGGACACCATGTCCCCCAGACCCATAGTTGGTTCGGAGGGTTTCTTTATTATAGCGCTTGGGCACGGCGACAACTATCGCGAGCTGCCCCTCATCACTGGTTTTTTCGGTCTGCTTGGTGCTCTATTCAAGGGGCTCTGGGGCCAGGCAGAAATGGAGGACATACTCGAGACGGACGACAATTTCGAGGTCGTCGCCTCCACCATCAAACCCATCTACGACCAGACCTGCCGATCCTGCGCGCTCATCAAAGAGACAAAAGATGATTCCAGCTGGTCGCGACATGAAGAGCTAACTCCTCTAGTTCCCGGGGCGTGAGCTGGCACGGAAACGTCATTTGCAAAGGAGCCTCGGGCTGCGCATGCTTATTTTTCAGCACTACAGTGGCTCGGCCTAATCAGTGCGAATTTTTGACACTTGAAACTTGACGGCAAGACTGCAGAGGCTGCCGATTGCACACCGTCGCGGCTGTGTCTGCTGAAACAAAAAGTCTACATGATGCCATCCGCTCAGATGAAGCTGGACTGCCTCATGCTTCGCTAGCTTTCATGTTCAGGTACTGACCATGCCCCGCTTTCGCAGCTGGCTCCGACCGTGGTCCTGCTGTGTGGAGGTCCCTCGAACCTCTCATGTGCTTGTCGGTCCAAGCGGATACGAGGCGGCCGGCGCGGGCTATCCTGCACGGTGGAGACGGGGACAGGGCCTCATGTGCTCGACGGCTGAAACAGTACGGGCCTAGTGCCGCCAAGCGTGGAGTCCGCTCGCGCAGCGTTCAAT